GACTGATGACAACGTGATGATAAATTCTACGCGATTGCCGTTATCGCTTCTGCTGACAGCATGGCGATAGTCTGCTTCGTGACTGTTATGTTATCGCAACTACCGACGGTGCTGTGATAGTTACTTCTCGTTTGACGATGTGGTCCTTAGCCAGTTTGGCAGGTCGAGAATATAAGCATTCCCATGCACGACACTACTTGGAATAGACCGATGAAGCGAGGTGATAGCTTCGAGCTTCCCAAACTTGAGACCACATCGTCTAATAGGTTCTTAGTACTAAAAATTACATAACTTCCCACGAAAAAGGACATTTTGCCTCGACGACCTCGTCTATCTGAGTTTTCATTTCAAATCTTGCACATTTGCCATTGTGTCTCGCACCCGTGTAATTACATTCACACTACTTTTGATGAATGAGTCCAGGGCGTCCTTGCACTTGCGCTTTACCTTTGCATCACTGGTTGTATCAATTCGGGATGCATCGATTTGCCGAGCTTCTGCCACACTTACATCATGGACACCACCCGTCGCACAAAGCGGTACATGCGGGAACGTGGCCTGCTCTGAGAGCCTGTTCTAGAGCTCTGGCAAATTTGTTAACTTGATTGCGTACTTTCTGCGACCATTATTCTCTATAGCATGCAAGATGTACATATACGTTATACAATTTGTGACGTATTGCCGCACAACTCAACCATCCCTCTCAAAGTTGAATCCTCGATCAGTCAACTTGAACTTGAACCTTGACAATTTGAGGTGCTGGCATTGATTTTGTAGGAGAGTCTGCAAGCTGATCTTTGGTTGGAAAATACTGAAGCTTGATGGCTCGCTTCACGACTTGATCACGCATGTGCTCGATGATCAATATACTCTGCCCAAGGAGTATTTCCAATGTTCGCTGCGATGCTGATCGCTGACATGTTGTCCACTCTATCCGCAGTAGCCCCGTCAGACTTTCCATTCATTTCGTTTGATTTAACGTAGCCATACAATATCTTGGGTTGTCATCGAAAGTGCTTCATACTCAGCATCCGCCGAAGAAAGCACAATGGTTGCTTGCCTTTTGCTCTTATACATGGCTAGAGTTTCACACAGCAATATCAGAAAAGCATAGTTCGAACGACGTGTAGCTTGATCTCCTTCTCATTTGGCAATGCTAATGGTTTCAATCCACCCGGCTGCTCACTACACCTTACAAATAGAATTAAAATTGTAAAGTTCCGTTTAAGAAGCGCGGAACTCTGATGGCAGCCCGTAAATACACTACACGAGTTTTACCCACATACTGGGATAGAGCTGATACTAATTTAGGGATGTGTAGTGTTTGCGATCTGCAACATTGATTCGACCAAATCACGATACTTGGTCTTGGAGTCCAAGTGAGCAGGAGTATCATCAGGGAACAAATCTTGACAAAGAACTGTTTGCATCTTCTTTTCCGAATCGTTCCGGTGACCGTAAAATTGACTGTGCTTGCTTGCTCTCCTTCTGTTTGGTTGCACTTAACTTCTATCCCCAGCACTCAAAGCAATTTCACCGATAAGTGCGAGGCAAGCGCATCGTGTACTTCATGTACTTGGTTTTTCGTCATTCAACCGACAAGTAAGTCGTTTAAGTAGAGAACAAGAAATACGGAGTCGCGTAGTCGTCTTCATCACGATCATGGCGGACGAACAAACACGGACCTTCACGACACCATAAAAATTTGAGCTCCATGAATACTGCACGAATGGTTTTGAACCATACTACCGTAGCTTGTTTGAGCCCATAGAGGCTGACCATACGAAGTTGGATAACCTTACCAGCAGGTTCTTGAACTCCTTCTGGCGACTCCATATACACATCTTCGTCGAGATCGCTTTTAGAAAAGGTGAGTTTAACGTCATATTGGCGAATTAAAAGTTGATGCTCCTTTGACATCGCTGAAAATACAGGTATTGTGCTCATACTCGCTACAGGCGAGTATGTTTGAGCCTTGAGTCCGAAGGTATCCAAGTGAGTAAGCCTTACCTTGAAACTCGTCACATTGTCATTGTTGACGTATTTGAGAGCAACGACCTATTATAGCCGATAAGCTTGGCTCCTTGCGATCGCATTAGTAGTATCCATGTCTGATTTTGGACGTGTGATCGGATTTTTTGGCGAATTAATTTTTTCAGGCTTTTGCTTCTGGTGATGCTATTACCTCTTGATAGCTGCGAGGCATCTCTATTGCGACCAGTGCAATTTCACAGCTACCCAAACGTGGCCGCTTTCTATCGGGTTCGCTACCATTTCCTCCTTGTCAGAAGCACGACCCAAAACACCACTTGTGTCGTTGTCGCTTGCGTTTGAGTCAATGGTGAAAGTGGAACTATACATTCACTGCTCACATTGTCAGAACTTCGTAGCAATTCTGGCTATGCGTATTAGAGCCGCTTTAGACGACAAGAACCACCTTTAAATGCGAGGCAATTATCACCACACAGTTGCTGCGTTGAAACAGTTGCACCCGGTGGTTTGATGTGCGCTGGATTTTGTCAAATACATCTCAGACGAAGAGGTCACACGCACAATAATTTGCTTTGGAGATGTCGTCGGTACAGTTAGAAGAGCAGGAAGGCATTTTGCGTCGGAGAATGCATTTTTGGGCAGAAGTATTCTTCGGAGACATTTTATAGTATCATACTCCCCCATTCCGGCACCGATATTGTTGTCGCGTCGGAATAAGCGTACGTTTCGGTCCCGGTGGGTTCACCTCCATACTTTCTGCCTCGTCGTAGCCTGTAATTGCTTCAATCCTCGAATACCTACGCCGTCATAAACTGAAACATTCAGTGATGCGTAAACTTCACCAACCTCTTCTTCGGTCGGTTTACTTTATTATTCTATACTATTGACAAAGCTTGACATTCACGTTCGCGGGTGTCACTCACTCGCCCAGTTGAATGGTCTGAGGCATGACAAGGGGATTAGCACTGAAGCTCCCAAGCTCGAGAGGCTTTCTTTTTCAGCGTCTTCAAGAAACAAAGATCGATCAGCTTTTGCATTCAATTTGGACCTCTTGGCTTTGTTGACATGTAAGAATCCGCGCGACCCAAAAATCCGAAGGCATTTTTTACTGCTGTAAACGCGTTAAATGGACTCATGCGAGGCCGAGAGTAGTTTGGGATCCTGTTGCCGATATGCAAAGCTGTCATCATTGCTTCTACACGACACTGACGTTCAACATGCATCTTGTGAAGCATCGAGCACGCCAACTCCGTGAGAGTCCGGTTCATCCGTTCGGCCAGCCAACTTTGCCGGGGCGAATAATGTGCACTGGTCCAATGTGCAAACCCTGATCGTGCGCAAAACGATTACAATAGCTGAATCTAAAATTCTACACCTTTGTCGCTCCAAATGCACTTACGCCTTTCGAACATTTAACTTCCACTTAAAGTAGTCCGTGTGTATACTTTACTTTACTCTTCTCTTCTCTTCTCTTCTCTTCTCTTCTCTTCTCTTCTCTTCTCTTCTCTTCTC